TAAAGTCAGTGACGTCGGGCTGGCCCCGTGGCTTGGTGGTTAAGTGAGCGCGCTCCACTGCTGGCGACCCGGGTTCGGATCCCGGGCTCCCACCGGCGCGCTGCTTCTCCGGCCATGCTGAGGCCGCGTCCCACATACAGCAACTAGAAGGATGTGCAGCTATGACACACAACTATCTACTGGGGCTTTGGGGGGGAAAAATAAATAAATGAAAAAAAAATCTTTAAAAAAAAAAAAAAAATCTTTAAAGTCAGTGACGTCTGCCCTATATAACATATGATTCTATAGAATACCTAAGTAGTCAAAAAAAAAACAGCTATATGTGAAAAATAAGTACATATCAGTAAAATAAGTGCAAATACATGAAGTCAAAAAGGATTCTATGGGGCAAAGACATCTCATAGATGAAGAAAACTTTGATCAGCATCCTAAAGAAAGAGTAAGTTTTTTCAGATGTACAAGGACATTATACAGAGAGAAAATTGCATGTATATAGGCTAACAGATGTAAAAAAGCAAAGCATGTGTCAAATTTTACAAGTAATTCAGTGTGGCTGAAAAATAAATCTGGGAATGTTGGTAGTCACCAACCCTAGATTTGAGAAAGGTGTTTAGAGTATGCCTTAACCCCAGCACCTTTAACATAGTGAGCAAAATAGCTGTTGTTTTTCCTTTGAAAAATTGGCTGATTATACTCTCAATCTTAACATAGAAAAAGTCTTTGTATATGGGTTTATATATGACTTCCTTTTTCTTTCAAAGTCTAACTAAAAACAAAAGTAATAAGGAAGTAGGAATATAGTTTATCATCTTAATTCCAGAAGTAAAAATCCATGGAAGCCCCAGAAACACATGGCCTTGCTATTAAGAGAACTGGGGGATATCTTCAGGATAGCCTTCTATCTACACTGAGGAAAGCAGAACAGACCTCACTGAGAAACTTAGAGGTAACAATGACAGGAAAAGAAAACAGTTGATTCATTACCACAGTCTCTTGATATTGAAATAGAAACAATAGAATGTTTATAAGGTTTAGTGTTTTCTCAAGAAATTACATCAGCAACAGAGTCTTAAGCCTTAGAATTCTATACTCAATCTTTTGAAAAACTCCTTTCCAGCCATTCTCTTCCTCTCCCCATCCTTGTCCCAGAATATGAGAACTACTACCAGTGACTTGGGAATATAAAATTTCTCATTCTCTTTTCTCATCAATTGGAAGAGAAGAATGAAGCTCTAATTCTAGTTAGATGAAAGGTTTCTTCCCAAATGCATTTTTCCTTAGAAATATATTTGCTGCATTGGTGGCTGAAACCTCGGTATTTATTAGATGTACTTCAGGGGACAAGTAGGCTTAATGGATTTCAGTGAACTTGCCTGAAAATCTAATTTCCAATGAAGCATAACAATGTCATTTCTTTTGGGAAATATGTTCAAAATTTCTGCCTTCAAGTATACTTGAGGATTTCATACATAAAATAAATTTTAATCTCACACCAATCATTATAAACATCAATGATTGTTATGTAGCCATGACGATGGACAGAATGAAGAATGTTTAATCTTTATTGACTAAATTTACCCAAATAATAATTTACTTTCAATGAAAAATATGGCATTTTTCATCTTTAAAAAAATTGCTTCTTCTTTTTATTAGTTTTAATAAGTGATACAGAAGAATATTCTAAACTTAAGAACAATATTAGTTAATTTTTGTTAATTTCATATTTACTGTAATTCTTATTATACTTGGTGTTCTATGTTTCAAGAGATATTTTTCTTTTCAAAGGCTAAAGAGAAAGCAGGGATGTGAGAGATGAGAAGTCTTTGTTTTAAAACCATATGTAGTTGTGAATATTCTAAGTCAGGACATAGATATAAACACCTAGATGAGGAAATAGGAAAGAGAAATTAAGCATTCTGACAATATAAGCAAAAGTTTACAAGTTACAGTCATGGTGGCATATAAGGACATCTCGGTCAACAACAGACCACATATACAATGGTGGTCCCATAAGATTATAATGGAACTAAAAAATTCCTATGGCCTAGTGACGTCATAGCATTTGTAACATCATAGCACAGTTCATTACTCATGTGTTTGTAGTGATGCTGGTGTAAACAAACCTGCTGCACTGCCAGTTACATAAAAGTATAGCACAGTCAATAATGTATAGCACATAATACTTGATAATGATAATAAGTGACTATATTACTTGTTTGTGTATTTACTAGACTATACTTTTATCCTTATTTTAGAGTGTACTCTTTCGACTTAAAAAAAAAGTTACTGTAAGACAGTAAAAAAAAAAGTTACTGTAAGACAGTATGCCATGTTATGCCAGCAGCCTCATACATCTTGTGTTTACTGCATCTCTTGATTGCATCATTTTCTCTTGTGCTTGGCTTAATCTTGTGTTGTTCTGTTCATCATTGCCCTTAAGCATACAAAATCCACTGTCAATGTGGCCAGTAAAAGGCCACATTGAATGATTGACCTAGAAATAAAATTAAAAGTGATTAAAAGCAACAAAGGTGAAAAGTCAGTGATGGTTATTGTTCACCAGTCAGGCATGTCCCATTCCACTGTAGCTACAATCTTGAAGAACAAGAAGAAAAGTGATAGTAGCTGTTAAAAGATCTGCTTCATTGGAGGCAATGAAACTAGCAACAGCAAAAAAATTCAAGATGGATTATATCATACATGGAGAAACTTCTAATGACCTGGATTGAATATCAGACACAGAAGTGTATCCCTCTCAACACTATGATGATCATGGCCAAGTAAAAATTTGTTTGTGATGTCAAAAGAAAAGGCTGGACCCAACTACGATGTTGAATTTATTGCTAGCTCTGGGTCATTTAAATGATTCAAGAATCATTATTCATTACATAATGTGAAAGTGAGCGGTGAGTCTGTGAACGCTGATGCGAAGGCAGCTGAAGAATTTTTGGAAACTCTAGGTAAGCTGAATGTGAAGGGAAATGACTTGCCAGAGTAAATATTCAGTATGAATGAAACTTCCTTATTCTGGAAACAGATGCCTGAAAGGACTTCATCCGTAAGAAGGCCAAGTCAATGCCAGGTTTCAAGTCTCTTCAGGACAGGGTATCTTATCAGTCTTGTTTGGGGGCAATGTTGCAGGATACAAAATTGAAACCCTTTGTGATCTGGCACAGTGAGAAACCCAGGGCCTTCAAGCATGTCAATAAACACACACTGCCAGTGTACTATAGGAGCAATAAGAAGTCATACATGACCCAGCTCCTCTTCCAAGATGCCCTCCTGAATTGCTGTGCCAGCAAACTGGAAAAGTACTATTTGGAGAATAACATATTTTCAAGATTTTGTTTATTACTGATAATGCTTCTAGACATCCTCCTTTTATTAGTGATCTTCATCCCAGATGCTTCAGTACCAAAGCAGTGTTTCTCCCTCCAACCAATGGATCAAAGAATTACAGCAGCTTTTAAGGCCTACTACCTGAGAAGGACATTTGCTAACCTATTGCTGCAATTGAGAAAGACACTGAGAAGAAACTAATGCAATTCTGGAAGGATTACTGTATCTATGACTGCATCAAGAACGTTTCTTGGGCTTGAGATGATGCCACCAAGAATTGTATGATTGGTATCTGAAAGAAGACACTCAAGAGGGTTGTCCATGACTTCAAAGGATTTTCTAAAGGTGGGGAGGTTGCAAAAATTAACAAGGCTGTGGTTGAGATGTCAAATAACCTTAACCTGGATATGGATGAGGATGACACTGAGGAGCTCTTAGAGGTGGTTCCTGAGGAAATGGCTAAGCAAGAGTTAGAACTGGAACAGGAATGCATAGATGAAGAAGAGGCAAGAGAAAAGGAAACTGCAGGAGAAGAAAAAGAACTTTCAAATAAATTCACAGTGAAGGGTTTAGCAGAAAGTTTTGCAGATCTCAACAAGCTCCTTAAAACGTGGACCCTAACAACAAAAGTTTTCATTAACAGAGAAGAATGTTCACGGTGCATTATCTGTTTTCATGCAAATCTATGATGAAAAAAAGGAACAAATCAAGCTAAAAACCGTGGCCATATTTCTGAGAAGAGTGACACTTCCTCAAGAAGAGCTTCAGGGAAGTCCTCAGGAGATATTCCAGAAGAAGGTATTGTTATCACAGGAGATGACAGCTCCGTGCATGTTATTGCCCCTGAAGACCTTCCAATGGGACAAGATGTGGAGGTGGAAGACAGTGATATTGATGACCCTGACCCCATGTAGGCCTAGGCTAAAGTGTGTGCTTGTGTCTTAGTTTTTAACCAAAAATTTTAAAAGGTAAAAAAAATTAAAAATTATAGTAAAAATCTTGTAAATAAGGTTATAAAGAAACAATATATCTTTGTACAGCTGTACAATATGTTCATGTTTTAAGCTAAGTGTTATTACAAAAGAGTTAAAAAATTAAAAAGTTTATAAAGTATACAAGTTACAGGAGCCTAAGGTTAATTTGTTATTGAAGAAAAAAATATTTTTTTATAAATTTAGCATAGCCTAAGTGTTTATAAAGTCTACAGTGGTGTACAGTAATGTTTTAGGCCTTCACATTCACTCACCACTCACTCACTGACTCACCCAGAGCAACTCTGAGTCCTGCAAGCTCCGTTCACGGTAAGTGACCTAAACAGGTACACCTTTTTTTGATCTTTTATACTATATTTTTACTGTACCTTTTCTATGTTTAGTTATATTTAGATACACAAAAAAACCATTGTGTTACAATTGTCTACAGCATTTAGTACAGTAACACACTATGCAGGTTTGTAGTCTAAGAGCAATAGGCTATAACATATAGCCTGTATATGTGTAGTAGGCTTTGCCATCTAGGTTTGTGTAAGTGCACTCTGTGATGTTTGCACAACAATGAAATGGCCTAATGATGCATTTCTCAGAACTTATCCCCAAATTAAGTGACACATGATTGTATTAAAGAATAGAAACAAAACGATGATTTCCCATATCTCCCCACAGATGGTCTATGTGGCACGGAATGCTAAAGATGTGGCTGTGTCTTATTATTATTTCTACCAGGGGGCAAAGATGCACCCAGAGCCTGGCACCTGGGGGGAGTTCCTGGAGAAATTCTCTACAGGGAAGGGTGGGTCCGACTCTTACTTTAATCATGCAGTTTCATAATGAAAAGTCTTTTTTTGCAAGGAAACATAAAATTCAAATATAAATCTTGTGTTTATTATAAACCTAACATGTGCCCAAAACTATACTAATGCATTAGGAAGACTATAGTAGAGGCAGAACACACAGCCATCTCTCCTCTTTAAGGACTTTTGGGGAATATGTGACACACAGATTTTTCAGTCCTTAGTCTTATTGTTTCATTAGTGCTTAGTGACACTGATAAACGCTTTCTTCTCTTGCCGTCCATGCCATTGTATTGTCTTGATTTTATGCATATTTCTTGGGCTCTTTTTTTCCTACCATTTCTTTATTTTTGTTATATAAACTGAAAATTCTTGAGTGAAGATTTTATTCTCAAGGCTCTATTTTTCTACCTGTGTAGTCTCTCTTTCAGGGAAACATATTTATACCTATGGTAATAACTCTACTTATAATTCTCATAGAAACATTCTCCTATAAAAACTCTTTTTCTAAGGCAAATACATCTCAATGGGATCTTGCAAATTTTTACTCCTGCTATTGCTTGGATCATTCTCTGTCCATGTCTACTCATTTGTATCATTATTAAAGTCTAACTCTTCTTCTTAGATTCAAATATACTCTACTTCCTTCACAGCCCTTTCTTAACCTCTCCACCCCAAGGATTTTCTCTTCTTCTTTCGCTCTTCTAGGAACTTCCGTACCACTTATTGTCTGAATTACTCAGTATCTGCCATCTTGCTCTTGTAGTTTTATTTATTAGAAGTTATATTTGTTTGCTAGGATGACCATAACAAAGTACCACAGACTGAGTGGCTTAAACAACATAAATTTATTTTCTTATGGCTCTGGAGGCTAGAAGTCCAAGATCAAAGTGTCTTCAGAATTGACTTTTTCTGAGACCTTTTTCCTTGGCTTGTAGATGGCCATCTTCTCTCTGTGTCTTCACATGGTCTTCTCTCTGTGCATGTCTGCATTGTTATTTCCTCTTCATATAAGGAGACCAATCATATTGGATTAGGACCCATCCTAGTGATCTCATTTTAATCTAATTACCACTTTAAAGACACTATCTTCAAATATAGTCACATTCTGAGGTATTGAGTTTGGGACCTTAACACATGAATTTTGGGGTGGACACAATTCAGCTCATAACGCTCTTCCTTCTGGCCCCCCAAAATTCGTGCCCTTCTTACATGCAAAATGCATTCACTCCATCTCAACAGCTCCTACAGTCTTAATCTATTCCAGCATCAACTCTGAGCCTAAAATCTCATCTAAATATCATGTAAATCAAGTATGGGTGAGAATAAGGTATGATTCATCCTGAGACAAAATTCCTCTCCAGCTGTGAAGCTGTGCAACCAGATAACAAATTATCTTCTTCCTAAACACAGTGGTGGGACAGGAATAGGATAGCCATTCCCGTGTGAAAAGAGACATCAGAAAGAAGAAAGCCTGAAACCTAACTGGGCAAAGACCATCAGATTTCAAGGCTCGAGAATAGTCACCTTTGGCTTCATGTGCTGTCATCCAGGCCTCCTGGGATGGCCCTGCCCTCTGGGCCTGTGCCCTCTGGGGCTGTGGTGGTGGTGGGAGGCCTGCTGAGCTCTAAACCTTCTTTGGGGTCATTCTTCTCTTTCTTTGAAAGACAAAGCATGTTTGCAGCCAGATAGCTCTATTGGCCCATTTCTTACCTGCAGAATCCCATAAGTCCAACAATCTTCCTGCATTTTGTCCTGCCTCTTATCCCCTTCAGTCCCAACTGACGGTGTTTCTGCTGAGATAGTTGATTGGATCCAAAAGTCACACACCTAATCTCTTCAGTATAAATTGTCCAGCTACACCCTCAGTGTTCTCTCCAGAGCATACTGTCTCATTTTTTTGGAATATGGATAAGCTGAGAATTTTATAAATCTTTACATTCCAGTTCTTTTTTGCTTAATAATTTCTTCTTCAACTTATCTCTCTCAGCTCACATTTTACTGTAAGCAGCAGGGAGAAACCAGGCAATGCCTTCAACACTTTGCTTAGAAATCTCCTCAGCTAAATATCCAAGTTCATTGCTTACAAATTCTACTTTCCACAAAAAACTAGAATACAATTTTACCAAGTTCTTTGCCACTTTATAACAAGAATTACCTTTCCTCCAGTTTCCAATAACATATTTCTTATTTCTGAGGCCTCACCAGAAACACCTTTAATGTTCATGTTTCTATCAACATTCTGTTCATGATTATATATGTTTCATAAGACAGTAGAAACTTTGTCTCCGAGTCTTCTCTTTTTCTGAGCCCTCACTAAAATTACCTTTAGTATCCATAATTCCACCAACCATCTCTTCAAGGCAATCTAGGCGTTTTTCTAACAAGCACCTAAAAGCTCTTCCAGCCTCTACCCATTATCCAGTTCCAAAGTCATTTCCACATTTTTAGATATTTGTTACAGCAGAACCCACTTACCAAAATTTGTATTAGTTTGCTGCGCTGCCATAACAAAGTTCCACAGACTGGGTGTCTTAAACAACATAAATTTATTTTCTCATAGTTTTGGAGGTTAGAAGTCCAAGATAAAGTGTCTTCAGGGTTAGTTTCTTCTGAAGCCTTTCTGCTTGTCTTATAGATGGTCATCTTGAATCTGTATCTTTACATGGTCTTTCCTCTGAGCATCATCTGTGTTGTAATTTCCTCTTCTCATAAGGACGTCATTCATATTGGATTAGGGATCACCCTAACGACCTCATTTTAACTTAATTACCTCTTTAAAGGTCCTATCTCCAAATTCAGTCATATTCTAATGTACTAGGTGTTAGGACATTAACATAAGAATTTCAAAGGGCCGCAATTCATCCCATAAGAGAAATATTTCAACCTTTCTAAGTAGATTATGAATTCAATGAGAATAGAGGTTATTATTCTCTTATCTTACCATCTTTTTTTCTTGAATTAATAAGTAATCAATGTGAATGTATTGATAATGGTGACTTGGGATAACGTTTAACAATTCTTTACTTCACGTAAATAGTTTTAATTTTGCAAACATTTTTTTTTCAATTTAGTGGCTTTTGGTTCCTGGTGTGACCATGTGAAGGGCTGGTAGGAGAAGAGGAAAGATTATTGTATCCTTTACCTATTCTATGAAGACATGACAGAGGTAAAAGGCAACTTCGATTTCTTCTTTATTTTTTAAGGAAATCTTTCCTTTCCTCTTGATCTGTAAATATTGCTAATCTACTATCCTGTTAATTCTGCCTTGAAAATTGATCTTTCACTCAATCCACTTCTTTCTATCACTGCTCCTCCCTATTCTAGTTCAGGCAACTATCTGGACTTACTTGAACTACCTCATTTTGCTTCTATTATCCACTCAAGAGAGAATGATCTTGAAATCCAAATCAGAGTATGTCCACTCTCTTCTTCAAATATCTCAATGGCTTCTGTCCTTATGTGAAATATAGAATTATTAAGCTAATTTATACAGTTCGGCATTATTTCACCCCTATCTCTCCAACCTCTTCTGGTTTCACCTTTCCCTTTCTCACTAAGTGAGCCTACTTGAAACATTTTTTCCCACTATTTTCAGATGAACCTCTTCTCATCCTTTATGTCTTAACTTAAATGTTACCTCTCCACAGAGTTCTTTCATGTCCGGAATGTCAAATAATCCACCTTGTTATTATCCATTAAAGTCTCTTTTGCTGCTATTGTTGTTTTCATAGTATCTACCACTATTTCTAATTATTTTATGTATGTATCTCTTCACTTATATTTTGTTGATTGCCTTTACTATAATGTAAGCTCTTTGAGTGTCTCAACTAAAATTATCTTGTCTATGATTGTTCCCCCAAGTGTAAGCACAGTAGGGCAACAATGTAATTTTCTTATTCAATCTATAAAAACATCTAGCTTTATTTTCTCATCTTCCATCTTATTGTTAGCATGGAAAATAATTCACTGATTTGATCAAAACATTACCTTGATCTGATTGTTTAAACGGTTCATTTAAGAAATATTCCACATCTATTATATTGAATGTCTCTCAGATAGCATGTTTACACCTCCTCTTTTCTCTTCAAAATAGTGTCTAGGTGTGTGGGGCAGAGGGTAAATTATACAAGACGTTATAAGAATGAGAATGATTTGGAATCCCTGCAAGCAATGTCTACTGATTCCTACCCCAAAGTCCTTAGAATGATTTCCTTTATCACCTGAATTCTGGAGCCACACTGGCATTCAAAACTGAAATCTGTAACAGGTGAATCTCTTACTCTGGTTTATCTACCTCAATTTTCTCAGGGTCTAGTAGCCTTGACTCAACTTCATCTTGGTCCTTTAGGTTTCCCTAAATTCCTTTAGACAACTATGACTACCATTCATCTCTTATTTGGGAAATCTATTCTACAACCTCTAAGGAAGTCACCAGCTAAGGTGACCTCATCTGGAAGATTCCTTAGTCAAATTCTTAGCTTCTGCTGCATCCTGTTTAAACCACTTTGCACCTGTCACTCTGGATTATGGTGATATATTACCCTAGTTATGGATCTAGAATCAACAGGTAGTGGTTGGACGGGTCTTGAAGAGGATAGGTATTATCTTGAAAGGAAACTTCCTACATTAGGTCGTAATAAGGTCTTCAAGCAAAAGAAGTTTAGTTTTCTCAAACATGGGAGAAGAATCTGCATCTGCTGGCAAAAAAGGCTCAAAATGACTCAAGGGTTGCAGAGTGTCTGTGTCATCAGATCCACCCAAATAGTCTCATTCCAAGCTTGAGCAGTCCACCCTTTCCCCGTTATTCTTCCAATTAACTTTCACCTGATAGACTTAGCACAATTTCTTAGCACAAGAAATAAATTCTTTTAGAGCTAGCACATAAATTTTTTCTGGTTCTGTTTCGACGAATTGAGATGGATAGCTGAGGAAATCTAAACCTTAGATTGCTTTTCTGCCCAATCTCACCAGATCACTAAGATTATGGGTCTCTACCTCAGTTTGGTTTGGACCACCGAGAAGAAGAACAACTCCCCAGTGGGTAGAAGGGCACAAACTCATTGGCCTGAATGCCACCCTTTCATTCTATCTAATGTGGTGTCCTATGTACACTCTGAAGCACAGAGAAGGGAAATCAGAAGAAATACATGAAAGGATCTCTCCTTTTCATTGTTGACTCTTTCTCCTCCCCCTCATTCCTTAGGCTAGAAAGTGGATAGAATTTTATTTTACTTTCCTCCTTATATACTCATATTAACAAAAAATCTATGTAGGTGTGAGAGGTAGAAAGAGTATTTTTTTTTCCGCTATAAGAGAACTCTTTGAGATGGGTAATCTATTCTTTTTTTTTATTGAGATATAATTGAATCTAACGCAATATTAGTTTTAGGTGTACAACATAATGATTCAATATATGTATATATTGTGAAATGATCACCATATTGTCTAGTTGACACCCATCAGCACACATAGTTACAAATTGTTTTTTTCTTGTGATGAGAATTTTTAAGAGCTGCTCTCTTAGTTACCTTCCAATATACAATACAGTATTATTAACAATCATCAACAATTTTTCTGATCTAAGAGGAAAAACTTTTAGCTTTTCACCATTGGGTATGTTAGCTGTGGGCTTGTCCTATGTGGTCTTTCTTGTATTGAGGCATGTTCTCTCTGTACCCCCTTTATTAAGAGTTTTTATCACAAATGGATGTTGGATTTTGTCAAATGCTTTTTCTACATTACTGAGATGATCATATAATTTTTAACCTTCATTTTGTTGATGTGGTATATCACATGGATTGGTTTGCAGATGTTGAAATTATCCTTGCAACCCTGGAATAAATCCCGCTTGATCACGGTGTATGATCCTTTTAGTGTGCTGTTGAATTTTCTTCCCTAGTATTTTGTTCAGGATTTTTGCATCAATGTTCATCAGGGATGTTGGATCGTAATTTTCTTTTCTTGTAGTGCCCTTGTCTGGCTTTGGTATCAGGGTAATGCTGGCCTTGTAAAATGAGTTTGGAAGTATTCCCTCTTCTGCTTTTTGGAAGAGTTTGAAAAGGATAGGTATTAATTCTTCTTTAAATGTTTGGTAGGTAATCTATTCTTGATGTTAGATATGCTAAAAAAAAAAAAGAAGATCAAGGGATTTTGAAAATTATAGCTTGTGATAGTAGCAGCTTGCTTTATCACCATCTGTTATTTTACAGCTTAATTCTGTTTTTGAAAGATTCAATATTAACCCAATCTTTTTCTTTGCTTTTTTTGGGAAAAATTTAATCTTCCTTCTAACAGATGGTTCCCTGGTATAATCTAGAATAAGATATGTACTTGGAGAGCAAAATGAAATGTGCACAAAAAAATGTAAAATTACTTCCTCTACCTCATTGAGATATGTAGAACCTTATTAAATGTATTGCCTATTTCATGACTAAACCTACCAGAAATAATCCTTTTTCTTTATATTTTCTTTAGGATCTAAAGTGAGAAATTCAGAAGTTGCTAAAGCTTTTAGGTAAAGACCTGCCAGAAGAAACTGTGGATAAAATTCTCTATCATAGCTTTTTCAAAGTGATGAGGCAGAATCCTAGTGCAAATTATACGACTGTACCGAAATGTCACATGGATCATTCTGTATCTCCCTTCATGAGAAAGGATGAGAACATTATATACTAGATTCTGTAGAGCTTGCTAGTCACATCATGGAGAGTGTAGGGTTGCACATAAGAGTAATATTATAGGAAATGCTGGGGAGAGAAAAATTTAGAAAAAAAAAAAACCTTAGAGGAAATAGTTTGTGGCAAAGAAACTATCACCGCTGTAAGCCTAACCTGTTAGACAATTCCTCTAATGAGAAATGTTTACTCAAAAGCCTATGCGTCGATAAGCATGAGCCTTGGCACCCATTGCTATATCAGAAGAATGCCTCTCATTTGTCTGAATTATCTAGGTATTCTTCGTATTCCTTAGAAATTTTTGCTGTGGTAGGTAGTTAGCTTAAATGATGTTAGAAGTATTAAATTAATAAGAGAAAGTGTCAACTCCTTTAGGTTATTGCTATGGTTATGGTAAGTCATTGCATCTTCAGCATTGAACTCAATAGCAAGCATCTTGCACCAAATAGTCCTTTAATAAAAATGTGTTGAGTTGAATTGCATGTGTGTGTATGAGTGTGAGAGAGAGAGAAATTGATTCTGTTAGTTGTGCATGTATTAGTCAGCTTTGCTACAAAAAAACCCAAAAAACTCCAATAATCTCAATGGCTTAAAACCACAAGAAGCATTTTTCATTCAATGTTGGTGGATGTTGGCCACCTGTGGCTGCAGCACTTTTGCTCAACTCTTTTTGACTGATCGGTTTTGTTTGGCTCTCATAGGCTCAGCCTCTGATGTCTTTTTTTTCTGAAACCCAGCTAAAAGAGCTGCCCATTCGTGGGATATGCCCAATATCATGGTAGAGAGGAAGAGCAAGAAAGGTGGTGAAAACTTGCAATGCCTTTTAAAGTTTCTGTTCAGATGTGGTATATATTGTACTTATTCAAATTCCATCAGCCAAAGCTTATCAAAAACCCAAGCCTAAAGTTAATGAGGCAAGAAGGAATCACACAACATGTGACAATGGACAGAGATGTAAAATCTTCTTACAGTAAAGGAGAGAGAGAATCATTGAATCATTAGTATAATCTAAGACTGTTTTGGAGAAACAAGTGTTTTGATGAGAGCCTATAAAGGGACTATTGTGGGTAATTTTAATTACAAATGTGTCTTCATGCATCTTAGAGATGTTTTTTAGAAAGTTAGGAAGTATGCCATAGATAAGTCTTGCTGGGAATTTCCGGATCTCAACCAGGTATGATTTTGCCTGCAAGGGGATGTTTGGCAACATCTGGAGACATTTTTAATAGTCATATATAGGGGTATGCTATTGGCATCTAATGTGTAGAGGCCAAGGATGCTGGCAAACATCCTACAATGCACAGGGGAACTCCCATATCCCCCCAACAAAGAATTGTCTGGCTTCAAATGTCAACAGTAGAGATCTAAGTAAATAAAATAAAATGTCAAGTTGAGATATCCTGGGCCAGATTGACGAAGTTATTTTGACATGTTTTCTTCCCTTTTTTTTTCTCTAAAACTTGGCTTCCAAATGTGTCTTCTGGGTTATCCTGTGAGATAGTCTATGAAAATGGCACTATTTTTTATAAGATATTCGTTTCAAATGCTGTTCTGTATCCTTTCTTCAAGGTTTTAGATATGGTTAGTGTTTTGAAGATTGAACAATCCTATAATAAAGAAATATAGTTAATTACATTTAACCCACTAATTTCCAAATGTTACTTGATCATAGATCTGTTTTCATAAATTATCATTTGACATTGGAAAATGTAGTTTTAAAATGACTAAAAACTTCTCTGTAGACTTTATTAAGAAAGCTCTTGAATCCAAAGAGTAAAGATTTTGAGATATTGGATTTTCTCCCAGTGTCATTTATTGAAGCTATTTAAGGGACTATTTCTTTACATAAGGTACTGAAAAAAATCCCTGGAGATTTTTGGAAAACTAAGAAGGCCTTGGGGGCCGGCCTGGTGGCGCAACAGGTTAGGTGCGCATGCTCCTCTGTGGCAGCCCAGGGTTTGCCGGTTCGGATCCCGGGCGCGCACTGACGCACCGCTTGTCAGGCCATGCTGTGCTGGCATCCCATATAAAGTAGAGGAAGATGGGCACAGATGTTAGCCCGGGGCCGGTCTTCCTCAGCAAGAAGAGGAGGCTTGGCAGATGTTAGCTCAGGGCCAATCTTTCTCACAAAAAAAAAAAAAGAAAAAGGCCTAGGAGTCTGGGAGCGGCAGTAGGAGGTGAGGAATATAGTTATGGAGTAGATATGACATTCTAAAGTTAAAGGTTTAAAAATACAAGTATGGTAATTCAAATTAAAATTGGTCTTAGAAGGAAATTTTACAGTAGTGTCAAATTTACCATTTCTTTCTTTTCAGGTATTTCAGGAGACTGGGAGAATCAGTTCACTGTAGCCCAGTATGAGAGATTTGAAAAAGATTATGAAAAGAAAATGAAAGGGTCCACACTGCAGTTTCGTTCAGAGATCTAAGAAATACCTGTTCTTTCACCAACTCATTTAGTTTGCACTTAAATTAAAAGAAAAAAATCCCTTCAAACATTTGGTGAAAGGAAATTCTGTATGTGATGTTCCTTATGTACTAATATTAGTGGTTTGTAATAGAATATTCAAAGAATTTCAAAGTCTATATTTGAAAAGTTAATACTGTCTGTATGATTTTAACTACCTTCTGCAATGTTTTTACTATTCTTAAAGAAGAATAATAAAATTAAATTTAAAATCTATAAATTTACCTGCTTTATTTTTTAAACACAAGTTCTGGGTCATTGAACTGGCAAAGAAGATATTTAGGGAAGTCTTCAATATGGATAGAATAGAACCAAAATATCTCCTTAAAAAGGCTTTAATTTCTCTTTGTTATATGCTCAGGATGACACCAGTGTAATAAAAGATCAATGACAATTTTGTGAAAGAAGTTCACTGAAATGTATTGCCCTAGAATGCTTTACTATAGATTAAATTTTGGATAGTTTATTAATCATAGTCTTCTACTGTTATAGTTTATATGTTAATGATCTAAACTAGCACCAAGAAAGTAAACAATAAATATATGTTATGGAAGTATTGTTTGCATAATAATGCATTAGCTCCTGTCAGACAGAATAATCAATAGTTATCATTATATAAACTAATCAAAATTTATTAAATACCTCCTATGTATAATATGCCTTAGAGATAACAATAAATAAAATACGAATCCTGAATTCAAAGAACTTTAAGCCAGGTTAGGAATAAAAAGAAATAATTTTAAGAAGAACACAAGAAACCGCCACAATACTAATAGCTGACATTTATTGAGGGCTTGCTAGATACCAAGCGCTCTGCTGTGCAATTTGCATGGCTTTACTTCAACTGCTCTTCATTCAATTCTTTAAAATAGGTATTCTATTTTTTTCCCGATTTTCCTGGTTAGTAAACTGGCAGAGAAAGAGCAATAATGCACCCAACCACATGTCAAATATTCAGTAAAAGCTTAGAGAAAGGACAGTTTGATTTTTGATCCTTTTTCTTTTTAACAGTCTCAGTTATTCCCTCTTATCCTCATATTCCCTCACTAGCCTATCCTGTACTCACCCTCTTTCTCATGTTCTCAGGTTCCTGCCACTGCATGTCAATCAGACCTCTTGACTTTCAGCTAATCCAGATGTGGTCACATTTACAAAGATCACTGAAAATCTTCCCTGATGTGGAAAATAGCATATGTTCTCAAATTTTATTCTTTGTGAACAGTTGATGTTCTAATCTAGCAGTCTTCAAATCTTTCTAAACATTTATCATTGCAATAAAAAGTTTGGAGTACACTCCAGTAATACATAGACATCTATTTCTTTGTAAATTATACACATGTATGTTGTACAAATATATTATGCACACTCTAAAATGAACAGAAATACAAATTAAAAGGAGATGAAGATGGAATAACCTAGAATATTTTATTTTATTTGTTAATTATACGAAGTACATTTGCTGTCAAAAAATTATTTTTTTAGTGACACTTTAGAATGAGAAAAATGTGATTGAAATGGCTTTCTGATTTTTTAAATCTTGGTTTAACACTTTGATTTGGCATATTGGCCTAAATCCAGGTTATTTCAATACTTGATTGCAGTGATTATAAAGGTAAAAAAAAATTAGTTTCTAAAACAAAAGTTCTAAATGGAAAAAATGTAAGTTTTCCTGTGCTTACTAAATCAGGTATTCGGTTTTTAATCTTATCCATCATTTAGGGAAAGAATTCTGCTGAAATTTGGTAATAGATTTGTATCTTCATGCAACATGAGGTGTCATTCGTGTTGCATTTTTATGTTTGTAACAAAGAAGTTCAAAACCTATTAAAGGTCTTTGGAAATATTTTAAACAAGTTAAACTATCCTGTTTCCCAGTTTTTTAAGTGTGCTGATATGAATTTCCCTAAGTGATTCATTTACATCATTTTTACCAATAAAATCTTATAACCATGAAAGTATTTTCGAAAGGCCCTCTCCTTAGTTCACTTTTGATGTATGTGTCAGAAAACCCTTACCTTCTCACTCGTTTTTAACATTAAATTTCTCTGAAATCATACAACCCATAGTCATTTTTTTATCATAGAAAGTCAGCAATTTGAAAGAACATCTTTAAAGACATATAAAAGTATAACAAATTTTTTAATTCTACAACTCACTTAATTACCTTTCTGTGAGACAATGGGAAAACCTCTGTGTGTTTAAGGATTTTTATGATTGATCCTCAGCTCCTTAAAAAGTAATATTTGTTCCTATTTAAAGGTCTTGTCTTTACAAAATTAATTATGTAAACGTCATCCTATAGCTCACAAACTGTAATCTATTGTAATGCACAGAAACTAAAAGAAACCAGAACAATTATTAACTATAGTTAATACTGTATTGTATATTTGAAAGTTGCTAAGAGAGTAGATCTTAAAAGTTCTGATTACAAGAAAAAATCGTAACTATATATGGTGATGGATGTTAACTAGACTTACTGTGGTGATCATTTAGCAATATATACAAATATTGTATCATTATGTTGTACACCTAAAACTAATGTTATGTTATATGTCAATTATATCTCAATTAAAAAAAAATTGAGAGTGCCACTGCCAACTCTTCTGTTTTCCTAGAATTCCTCTGTTTCCTCAGAACATTTGTGGTACTACCATATGTGACTCATGGTCATCCGACATAAGGACAAAGTGAGGATGCCAGTGTGAATCTACAAATTGTATGGTAGTAAAGCTCAATTTCTCTTCTTATTTTTGTCCTATATATATACTTATACATAATCACTATATATATATATATATATGTACACACACACTATATATATGAATAACATATGCCTTATGCACATGTATATGTTTATAGAAAAGTAAGTTAATGTTTCCTCTGGAATCACATTTCGACTTCAGTGCTCTATGGAGTACATGCATGCCACTCTGTAGACCAATTTCATAAATCACATATAATACTCCTTTTCTGTTTTCTGCCTTAGAGGAAGAGTTGTTAACCAGTCTTCTCCTCACTTCTTTACCATCAATTTAATACTATTTTCAGAGGCTCCATATTAACCTACCTTTCACTGGCAAAGAGTTTCCCATAACTCTGTACTTAGTCTCTCATGCTCTCAAAACTCAGGTTTCTGAATGATATCATTTGACTGCAGCATTCAGGTCACCACCTAGACAATGATTACAATTAACTCATCAAGTTAGTCTGAAGTTATTTTATATCTTGAGACGTCATGAGTTAGACATAGGCAATTTAATCAAGCTCATGATGTCAGACCTCATTTCCCCTTTATGGCTAGTTCAGATACATTACATTTCAACAGAATGGGCCAACATTACTAATTCTGTAGCATCTAAAGCAAGGAAGGTTAGAAGGATCCAATCATTTTTATTCTTCATGTTGAATATTGAAGCTATTGTGAAATTCTATTGCTGCAGCTGGTGATATTTGCTCAAAATACTCCCATCAGTGACCATCTTTTATCTACAATATTAGGTCAGACTTGGATCACTTCTGTCAGGATCTCCACGTACAATGAGTCACCTTTCAGTTGGACTTTTCTCTTCTCTTGGCTTCTGGCTCACATCAGTGTACTCTTGCTATAGCATTGCTCCCTCTGGCATTAACCATTCTTAGTTGTGGGACAAAGCCTTTTATCCAAGCTTCACTACTGAACAATAAAAAGAAACAAGCTATTGATACACAAAACAACTTGAAATAATCTCCAGGGGTTTATTCAGAGTAAAAAAAGCTAATTTCAAAAGGTCAAATACATATAAATCCATTTATACAAAATTCTTGAAATGATAAAGTTACTGAAATGGAGAACTGATGAGTGGTTGCCAGGATTCAAGGAAGGGACCGGAGTGAAGTAGATGACTATGAAAGGACAACCTAAGAGATCCTGTGTTAATAGAAATAAATAGTCTGTATCTTATCTGTATCAATATCCTGGTTTTGATATTATACTACAGTTTTGCAAGATGTTACTATTGGGGAAAACTAGGTAAAGGGATTTTAAGATCTTTATATTATTTCTTGTAATTTTGTGTGAATCTACTTTTATCTTAAAATTTAAAAAAAGGAAAATTTTAAGAAAGTGATGGTAACTACAGCCTGAAATAAAACCTAGTCAAAGAAAATCAATTATATATAGTGCAGTTTTAGCGGGTTCTAAGGCTTATAAAGGGGTTTGATGAGGGAAAGCTCCAAAATGGAAGGCACTTGCTAGTTACTGGGTGTCTGGCTACCTGTTCATAGGGCTCACTTAGCTCTGAGCCCTGGGGATAGAGATGAATATGCCCTCCTCTTAAAAGATTAATAGTCTTGTGGAATCAACAGACAAGTACTAAAAATCAACATAGAAATTTGCTGAGCTGCTGTGATGACTTTGACAGAAAGAAGGTTCAGTCAAATATTTTTCTTGATAGTTTGACTTTTCAGTTATAGTTTGTAGAATAGCAAATACAGGAAAACAGTACCCATTAGCATTCTGGTCGTCTTTTTGTGTGTGTGTGTGAGGAAGATCAGCCATGAGCCAATAACCGTTGCCAATCCTCCTCTTTTTGCTGAGGAAGATTGGCCCTGGGCTAACATCCGTGCCCACCTTCCTCTACTTTATATGGGACACCACCACAGTGTGGCTTGACAAGTAGTGCGTTGATCTGCACTGGGATCTGCGCCTGCAAACCCAGGGCCACCGAAGCAGAGCACGTGAATTAACTGTTACGCCGCCACTGGGCTGGCCCTGTGGTCACATTTTATTATGACCTCACGTTATTCAATTATATGAGAAGTAGTGATTGAATGATTTATTGATTAATCTCTTATCAGAAAGGCAGTTTAATGTAAGCCGATTAAAGAGATTCAGTTCCTAAGAAGAAAAAAAAATCTATACTCAGATTGTTCCAAAAAGAAAAAGAATATATCCATGCTGTGGAATTGAGCTGAGTCTTTTAA